CGTAGCAGGCGGATTAGCCGCCAAAAAGGGTACGCGCGAACAGAGCGCGAGCACTGTGTTCGCGCTCTGTTCGCGGCGCCGTAGCAGGCGGATTAGCCGCCAAAAAGGGCACGCGCGAACACGCGAACGCCGAGAACACCCAAATCCGCGGATTTCGGTGATTCTTCCGGTGTGGCCGACTCGGTCAAATCCGGCTTCGACCTCTTAAGCGAGCCCGTACCATCGGGGGAAGGGTTGTGCTTGTGGTTTCTGGCAAGGTTTTGACGCTGCACAAAAACGACAGCCCGGGAACCCAGCGTACCGTCGGGGCTGCGTTCCCGCAACCATCTGAAATGGCGTGCATGAAATAGCTGAAGCACGGTGCTACTACACCACTTGTTACACAAGTGGTTTTGCCCCAATCACGGTGCTAGTGCGTTTTTCTTTACCTCCCCCCAGTCAGCCCTCTCTTGTTTTGATGTAACTCGAATTGTAAGCACGCTCTACAGACACTGTGACGAGAACTTAGTTGAATCGATTTCGCCCCGACGGGCGTTCTTTGTCTCAGAAAAATGGTAGCAGGGGCAAAGGCGTTGGCGTATGTTCGCGACGGGTTCAGACGGCAATCCGGAGAAAATGTGCTCATTGGAGATGTTTCTGCTGAAGAGCACGAACGGCTGGAGCAGCGGGCGTCGCAGAAAGAGAACGCTAGAAGATCGTACGGCGCGGTCAGTGCCTTCGGTCTTGCAAACCCCTATGGGCCCCTTGCAGGTGGCCTGGTTCAGGATCGGCTGCTATCCACAGAAAATTCATTACTGCGTCCGACGGGCATCATGTACGACAGCGACCTCTTTGCAAAGCACTTAGTGACCCTCTTGATGAAGTAGATCATGTCGAAAAACGCCAGCCACGACCTTTTTGTTACTCACAATTCATATACACAGATCAGAAACCAGGCTGGTTCAACCAGCCTCGGCCTTGTCAACACCACGTGCGCGCGAGGCAAAAACGACCATTTGAACTGCAACACTAATGTCATTGTGTTGATGCATTATTTTCCAATTGTCAAGGTTTTTTGTACCACGGGTCTAATGTTAGCAGTCAGTACTAGAAATTTCTGGTGCATAGGTCTCCGATTGGGCCGACGACAAGAGCTACGAAAGAGAGGATGAGCGGGAAGATGGTGCGGGTATTTTGGAAGATGAAGAAGTCTCTTCGGAAAACAGTCAAAGCCAAGATCCGCGGAGCTCCTTCTCGAGCGAGATGAGGGTTTTGATGCAGCAAGCGGAAAACGCTGTAGGTGCTCGTGCCGGGTCCCCCGGCGGAAATGGAAATGCAGCCGCTGGCAATAAAAGTCCCCGGATACCGAGCCTTGCCCCCGGCCAAGGCGCGCGGGGCGGTGTTACGGGCACAACTTCCACCACCGGGGGCCGCTCCACTGGCTCTGCAGGCTCCCCCAGCACCACCCCCCCGAATCTGCAGTATCAAATGTAAAAATGTCTGGGTCTGGAAGTAGAATGCAACTTGTGATGCTGCATTTGGATTCCAAAAAAATCTTCTGTATTGCATGAGTACCAACGGGAATGCAATTTTTGCTACGCTGAGAAGGCATTTGTCATGCGGAATAGGCATCAAGAAGCCCTCAGAGAATCTGTATTGCTAGGGTACGCATCACAGACATCATGGCTCATGCAAAACGTGCATGACAAATGTCAGAATCTTCCAGACCCAGACACTTTTACAGTTGATATGCAGCTTCCCTCCACCATTTTTCCCATGTCCGGGCGCGCGACAGACGTCGAACATGGGGGAGATCCGCACCACGTGCACTTCTCCACGCCCCGGTCCGGCAGTGGCGACGTCCCTACTTCTGCAACTACGGGCACCACCGCCGCCACCAAACAAGGGTCCCGCGAGCCTTCCACCGACATCCGAGAGCGGCAGGTCGAGCACGCGAAAACCGCCCTGACCCTGTTGAAGGAGAAGGCGCTCAGCCGCCACACCAAGCAG